TCCTGACTCTTTCTACTGCTACTCCTGCCCCTTTTTGTACTCCTGTCTTCCGACCACGCCCCTGATCACACGGTAGATTGAGCTCCTAATCTTCTCAGATGTGGGCGAAAAAATCCCGGAATCACCGTGTGCAAGTTGCGCACATTAAGGATCCCTTGGTGGTCCTAAAATCGACAAGATTCGGCTTCTGCCGCCACCCGGGCAAACATTAAAAAGTAATTCCTTCCAAAACTGAAAACGCTTAAGGGTAGGTTTACTTTTTGGATAAAGGTTAGGTTTAGGATTACGGCTAGGTTTAGGGTTAGGTTTTGGGTTAGGGTTAATCTTTGCCGAACCATATGTTTAGCTTTCGGACCATCCTCTTTAAAGCTGCTTTTTCTGTAGGTGCTTTAAGATACTTCAAAACTTTCGCCCTGTTAAGAACATCAGTGTCCGCAATCTTGCCCGCAGTATTCTTCTTAGACAGGAGAGGTGAAACCTTTTGAACTTGTTGGTATGTGCTTTGTACATTGTCTATGACTCTCTTCCACGTAAAGGGGTTGGTGATACAAACAGCATTATAGACGATGAGTTTGAACTCAATAACTGGTTGATTTTGAACTCTCTACGTATACCAAAGACGTCCCAAACTCTATTTCACAGTCTACCAAAGTGCAGTGTTAGCTTTGCTCATCCTTGAACCATCTGCAGATGCAAACCTGGCAACAGCAGAAAAGAAACTACCAACAAATTCTCCACTGCTGTAAGCTGGCTGTCACGAACTTCTGATGACTGGAGGAGTGATGTTTGATGTGTTCCGAGCAGGTTCGTAGTGTGTGTGTGGGGGGGGGGGCTTAGTTATATTTTGTGTTCATGGAGAGCCCAACGTTGTCACGTGTGCTAGAGAAAAAATTCCTACATTCCTACATGCTGATCTCGTCATGTGATGGACAATATGGCACAGTCATCAAGCAGCAAAGAGGAAAGCACATGCCATAACCTTTTCATTTTTTTGGCTTTCAAATGCGATACCTATGCTATTCACGTCAAATAATAATTATATAATACTACTACAACATATTTTGTTGAAAGAATAACCACGAAATACTAGCAAAAATTAATAAACAACGTACACATTGGAATCATCTCTCTGCCTTTTCTTGGTGGAGAAACAGCATGTTCTCATAGACAATGCCTGTCTTGTAGGACTGATGGAAGGGCATGGCACCAATAACCCACAGGGAGCACGAGGCAGGGGTAGGCCACAAGAAACATGGAGGAGATGTGTGGAAAGGGACATGAGAGAGATGAAGCTCACTTGAAACGATCTAGGAAGGAAGGCCCAGAATAGAGGTAAATGGAAGGAGCTTGTATGTGGCCTATACCCTGCCAGGGGTGAAAAGCACTGATGAGGATGATGATGACACCAAAGATAAGGAACTTGACACCCCAACCACCCGACCCACCACTCCGTACCTCACACCCCAGCCCCTAAAAAATTCAACAAAGCAGTATTGTTTGGAGTCGAACTGTTTTCCACTTCTCTTTCATCCAAACTTTCTGTTAAATTTTTGTTTCCCTTTGACGACAAAACCCAACAATTTAATCGTGATTCTTTTTACTTTTACTTTTTCTCTTTCGCTTGTACCCTGGGGTGTCGCGGGGAGACACAGGCGTCTGTCTGCAGCAAGTCGTGTGGCCTGTAGGAGGGACATCCCATGATCTCTAAGGGTG